AAGCACCGCAAGTACCGCAAGTAATAAAAAACACACAAGAGTAGGAAAATCGGAAATTATTTAAAACTTTTATCTCTAAATCGTTCGTTTTAAGCCTAAACAAAGGCATACGATACAATGCAAATTACCGAAAAATTGATAAAGTGTAATACCGATGCAAAACAAGCTAAAATAACGTTAAGACTTTCGAAATATCCAAAAATAAAACCGAAGAGCTCCGATAGTTATAAAAACGGCATTCGGAATATATACAATTGGCAAATCTCTCCGTCAATCATTCGCCGATTTCGCGAATCCCACTTTCTATTTTCTAGGACACTTTAATTAAAAAATCGATGACCGTCTACAGTGTCACTTTTGCTAGTGTGCGCGAAGCTCTCCTTACTAGGGAATGGTTTCGGGCGGACATCGGACCTAGATATGTGAGTATGTGCATCTTGTAGATCTCGACGAGACGAATCGATTGATGTAACTTTTAGCTGCCAACGCCTTTAAATAAAAAAGTTACAACTATTTAAATTTTTCTGGCATGGCTTCATAAGCCCTCCCGGCAACCCCGTCACCGTGGTCCAGTGGCCTAGTGGTGTAGTAGTCAGCGCCTGGAGAATCTAATGAGGGTTCGAACCCGCTCACGATTTTTATTTTTTGCTTTTTTGTCCGAAGCTTCCTCATTGCATTCAGAAGGCCGTGAATAACTTTTTGTACATTATTTATACACCAATAAACGTTCCTAGCGATAATACAGCTTCGGGCGAAAAATTAATTTTTTGATCCTGTTGGCTGGTGCCTGGCTCATGCATCGAAAATATTTTGGAGGAGTGGTCAAAATTGTGGTCACGTTTCTTACAACGTTGTAGCGTACCCCAAGTTCCATGACAAATATTTTATTTTCTCCTGAACTAGCCTTACTATGGTTACGTTTTTTACCAATTTCCAAATTTCGCAAAAAAAATTTCGGTATTATCGCTAGGAACGTTTATTGGTGTATAAATAATGTACAAAAAGTTATTCACGGCCTTCTGAATGCAATGAGGAAGCTTCGGACAAAAAAGCAAAAAATAAAAATCGTGAGCGGGTTCGAACCCTCATTAGATTCTCCAGGCGCTGACTACTACCCCACTAGGCCACTGGACCACGGTGACGGGGTTGCCGGGAGGGCTTATGAAGCCATGCCAGAAAAATTTAAATCGTTGTAACTTTTTTATTTAAAGGCGTTGGCAGCTAAAAGTTACATCAATCGATTCGTCTCGTCGAGATCTACAAGATGCACATACTCACATATCTAGGTCCGATGTCCGCCCGAAACCATTCCTAGTTAATGCAAAATATATGTAAATCAGTTCGACCACATCTGCCCCCTGCGGCTACAGCAGACGCGTATCAGTGGCCGGAATTGATAGTAACAGGATATAAATTTAGCCGCTGGGTTCAGTTTTTCATTCCTTGAATCCCTCTTCGAAACCACCTTCCACCACCAAATCGGATGTCTACTACCATCATGCCTTCGACTACAACCACCTCGACGAAGCCCAGGGTAAGTTGATTTTGGGTGTGAATCATCCACTTCTGGATTTTATTTTTATGTTTCTGAAAAATTTGCTGAAAATTAAACTAAGATCGGTTAAAGTTAGCATATAATAAAACTGAATCGAACACTTTACCTCAGACCGTATAAATTGAAGACATTTTACGTTTTTTAAATTACCGCCAACTAAAACGACTCATATGGATTAAAAGTAACGAAATAACTTATGGATTCGAAAAGCGCAAAAAATATCTTGAATTAAATCTAATTTAGTTTGTAAAACAAATTATATCAATAGAAAGTTAATTTTGTACCAATAGACAAATTACAATAAAAATAAAAAACAAAACCAGCCAAAAATTTGACAAAAAATTATTAAAACTAAACTAACAAGGAACTCAAAAACAAACTTTTAGATTTCTTTCAAGTCACGTTGATTTTTTTCGTAATAGATTAGTTTAATATAATTTTGCTTCCCTACCAAAATCAAATCAATCAACATTTAAGGTATTAGAAATCAAATCATAAATATTTATGCAATCTTTCAGCGCGGGCGTCGCCCTCGTCTTCCGGCCACGCAAGAAGTTCAGCAGGCCGAGTTCGTCAAGTACATGGCCACGAAGGAGCACCGCAAGAAGGCCGCCTACAAGACGTCAATGTGCCGAGAATATCGAGCAGGTATGTTTCAATTTTAAGGATTCTTTAAACTAAAAGCTTCAAAACAAGTGTGCCTTTTCTGTATCCCTAAAGCTCATTGAAAACGCTCCAACAATCGGTTTTAATTGTTTTTTTCAGGCTACTGCCCGTACGGCGATGGCTGCACGTACGCTCATGGCCTCGATGAGCTGCGCGTTGCCCCGATGATCGGCAAACCAAAACACCGGAAATACAAGACGGCGTTGTGCGACAACTTCTCGAACCTGGGCTGGTGCCGCTACGGGCTGAAGTGCCAATTCCGCCACACCAATGCGGATGGCCAGGAGGCGCTTGTGGTTCCGGAAGGGCCTCCGGAGAGGTTGGTTTGATTTATATTTTTCAAAGTATGCTGCTTTCTTTAGTTCAAGCTTGCTTTCTTTACCTAAACGGAAACAATTTAACTAAATTTTTTACATAAATGAGGGGGATTTGATGGATTCTGCTCTCAGATACTTATTTAGCACTCTAAACTACAAATTTCTGCTGTTTGTGAATTTACTGCGCGCGTATCTGGCCTACTTTGACTTATTAATGTCTTGTTTTTACCCTATAGCAAGTTTTACATCCGCTTCCGTTCGTTTAAGAAACTTTTGACGTAAATGAGCTGAATTTAGCTTATTTATGACCCTTTAATTTTGTCGGGGGTTTTTACTAATGCTATTTAAAACTTTAAGCTTCGAATTCCTCCCATTTGGAACAATTTACGCACGGATGTGGACTACTTTCATGCGTTGCGGCCTATAGTTTTGCGCGCCCGACCCAATTCCTTGAAAACGGCGATGCACTAAAGTCTGGGTTTCCTGACATCTGCGAGTTTTCAAGCGGGGTCTATTTGCCTACACGAGTTACAAATGATATCACTGATTCCCCCCAGACCCCTTTATACTAAATTTTCCCCTGTATTCCTATATCATTTACTACCAACCTGAATCTTACTTTTTAGTTCCAGCTCGGGCTCCCAGACATCGAGCAACATTCCCGACGCCCGTCCGGGCGCGATGATTTCGGAATGGCTCGACAATCTGCATATTACGCCGCCATCTACACGCACTTCTTCCGCGGTAAGGGAAAAATTAGAAAAATTTTATAACGTAAAAATACAGCTTCTTTCACGATTTTTACTTACACAAAGTAGTGAATCTGGTTTGGAACCATCGTTTCTAAACAGTAAAAACAATTTTTTTAATTATGCGAACCTTGCAGCGATTGTGAATGAAAAATACTTTCTAACATTTAATAAGCTGCTTTATAGTCAGCCCAAAGCCTGGAGACTGATGGTTCCGTCACCCCACCAACCTCTTCGACTCCGAAAGCCGGTCGTCGCGTCCAGTTTGAGCCGCCATTCGATTTCAATGGATTTGAATCTCCTGTGAGGCCTGGGTAAGCTACACCACATCATTTTCTCCTTGATTTTTGGCTTACCTTGTAAATTCCAATGAATCTACAGAAATTAACAAAATTAGTCCTAACAAAAAAAAACAACAATTTGTAGACAAGTCAACATCGAGCTCCGGCCTCCTGCTGTTAGCAACGCTGAGTGGTTCGCGACGACGCCGAAGAAGGTTCCCATGCAGTGCAGCGAGATGTAAGTATTATCACAGACTTCAAATAGCGTTTCTTAAAGAATAGTTAGTTAGTCTGAACATTCAATATTCGGTGATAATTCTTGTTCTGCCTAGTTTATATAGAGAAAAATACTTAAAACGTCTATTAAACCTTGAAAAGTCAGCTTTTTTAACTAATGAAGTTTCGACGTGCTATTTTTTTGTTTTCAGAATCTATATGAGGCTTACCACTTTATAAAATATAATTGTAGTTTTTCGCCTAGAAAGTATTCATATACTGTCGCTCTTTTATTAAAATATAAAAATACAAATACAAATTAATAGCAATAACAAATTATATTTCAGGCATGCGCTCAAGGTTGACTTCGAAGTCGAAGAAGATGTCGGAGTCATCGGGGATGGGCGCCCACCAACGGCCGGATCAGCCACAGCCCCGACCCCCGCTCTGCCGACCCTCTCCGCCATGTCGCTCAAGACTTCTCAACTTCCGTGTATTACTCTGCCCCAAATTTTACCTACCATTCTACCCAATACAGTCCCATCTGGCCTCCCAACCATGTTCCCATCCATGTTTCCCCAGGTTCTCCCTACCATCTACGATTTTGCCCCTTTCACATATGATATGTGCCCGGCTTACCAGTATCCGGTTGCGGGTGCTAATACCATGCTCAACCCCTATGTTACTGCTGATCTCTGGGCCACCCCGTCTGTAGGATTTTAAGGCTTGCTCCCGGCCGAAGTCTAACGCGTTTTTAGGATTCTAACGTTCCCTTAAAACCGACTTTTCAGTCATCTGTTTGCTGGGGTTATAATTCTAAGTTTTCACGAGTCTCAGATCCCGTATTTTTCACGTTGTTTTTACCCTTGGGATTTCATTATGGTACCGAAAAGCTGCTTTCCAGCAGCCATGTGCCTGAGTTTTCAAAATCTCGTATTGTTCTTGTTGTTTCCGTCTAACCATCTGTATTTTGGACATTTTGAAGTTGCCAAAATTCCTCAGATGTGTCTGTCCTTCCAAGCTATTCTCCAAGTTGGTGCTGTACGTATTCGAATATTGCGAATAATAAAGATTGTTGAAGCGCAAACAGATTGTAATGGCATGACATCTTCGGAGGTGAGCGAAAAAGCGAGAGAGTGAGAGAGAGTGAGAGAGTGAGTGAGAGAGAGGGAGAGAGAGTGAAAAGATTAGTCAAAAAGTTTATTATTCAAAGCTAAAACCGAGTAGGTGATATTGTGAAAATCGAATCATCCAAATCGTCATCTTCCGGAATTGCCGGCAGCTCTTGGTGGAATTCTCGCTGAGAATCTTGGGCAGTTTGCGTGGAATCCAGGCGGTCAATTCGGCGAAGGGTCGAGGTGGACATCTGTAATTTTTAGATAATGTTGGAAGTAGCAGGAATAAAAATAAAGTTTTGAACTCAAGAAGTAAATATATATACAGAGATAGGCGAAAACCTACCTTTCTAACCAAGTCCTTCAACTTGTCGAGATTCGTCTCGGAGCCGGTGATGACATAAGTTTGCTCCCGACGACTCCTCCAAAAGCGGTTGGCAACATGTTCGAGGAGTAATACGAGGACACAGCAGCACATTCCTTAAGATCGATTTAGGAACCGCACAAACAAGTTCATAGGCGTAGAAAGCCTTTGCAGCATTTTATTAAACTGAGGGCGTAGACGAACAAGTTTTTCCAAACGTTCTAAATATTTTCAGCCAAAAAAAGAATAAGTAAGCAGATTGCAGAAGCATACAAAATTCATGCGCTATTTGTCGGAACCTTGGCTGTTGGGCCTGTTTTAACAATGCGCAAAATGGGTAACAACTTATTAGAGCAGCAGCTAAACTCCTTAAAAAAGTCGGCTTGCCCTCGAGAGAAGGCCTGATCAAGGTTTTGAGCGTTGTTAATTAATTTCAAGGTACGCCCGTTTGAAGCCGCTCAAAAATACATCACTCACCTATGACGTAAAGCTCAAAAAGCTGCTCCAAATGCTTGACCAAAGATAGGGAAGTCCGCTTTGCTTTTACCATCGAATCTTCAGCGTCTTTCTTTCTACCGTATCCAGGTCGCAAGGTAATTCGAGGGATTCCGGGTAATACTTGGACGAGTGCTTTATTAAATCTAAAAATTTTTCAAAATGATTTTTCAGTAGTTTTCAACCATACCTATTACAAAGTCGCTTATTACTTTTACTAAAGCCAAAGGCAACATAGCTAATAATCCCTGTGGTGTCCCGGATTACGGTAAGCTCCTAAAATGCTGCCATCCAAGTTTTTAAGATCATTTACTTGTTCCTTATTCCAAGAACTAACAGCATTGGGAAGAAATTCAATGTCATAGGTCGAGTAGAAAACACCGCCTTTTCTAGAAAAAAACTTGAAGTAGCGAGATTTTTTAAGCCAACTTCATCTCCATAATCAGCCCTTTTTCGTCCATGTGCGTCACGATGCGACTGGTATTCCTAAAAATGTACTTTCTCAAATATGGGTGTTAATTACTGTATTTTCTTCAACCTCCGGACGTTCTTTCGATTTGAGCCCTCCAGCGGGACATCCATATAGTAGGTTAGATACTTTTTGTGGTGCTCGAGGAGGTCTAAAAATGGAGCGGTTAGCGGGGAGATTTTTAGCAGGAAAGAAAATTAATTGTTTTTATTCCGCCTGTACCTAGCTGTTGATAATATATAATGTTTGCTATGCAAAATATTAAAAAATAAAAATTGAATTTTGACGTTTTGCTTCTCGCCCGCTAGCAATCCAGTAGATTGCCCCCCATTAGTCATAAAACCATTAGTCATAACCTCATTAATCATAAACTCATTAGTCATAAACCCATTAGTCATAAATTCCATTAGTCATAAATGTTATGAAACTAATTGCTTGGAAATGTTGTTCTCTGACATAATCCCGTTAACAAATCGAAAATTAATAGGTTTAATGATATCCGATCACGTGCAACCAAGAAGTTTGATTTGAGAACACGACAAGGACCATCACATACACCTCAAAACCTCAAACCTCAAACCTCGAAACTCAAAACTCAAAACTCAACACTCAAACCTCAAAATCTACGATTAATAAAATTTATGACTAATGGAATTTATGACTAATGGGTTTATGACTATTGGGATTTATGACTAATCAGTTTATGACTAATGAGTTTACGACTAATGGATTTCGCCCAGTCCAGTACCAAGGATAAAACCCAAGATCTGCGATAGCTGCCCAATTTTTTACTCCCACCGACGTGAACGTAGATCCCCATTTTTCTTTTCGCTTTTCGAAACGCTCCAACTGCCGCGGCCAGCCCATCGGGGAGAGCGAGCATGAGGTCCGAGGGAAGCCGGACCACGCCCGTTCAAGTAAAAAGGTTCGTTCACTTTTTACTTGAACGGGCGTGGTCCGGCTTCCCTCGGACCTCATGCTCGCTCTCCCCGATGGGCTGGCCGCGGCATCCACACTTGGGTGGGGAGGTTTCTGGGTTTACGCCAGCCGCACACTGGCGTACCCGAGCCGAAGCGAAAGGGAGCGGGTGCGGGTCGCTCCACCTATCGGTTCAGCTGGGTTAGAAAACCAGCACTGCGTTTGGGTGAGACGAGATAGGCGCTGCGCCAGAGTCAGAAGCGTATATCTAGCCGGGCAACCACACAGAGCACGAGCACCCTCTTTCTCTGGGTCTCGATGCTCGAGCTCCAATGCCACATCGCAACATTCTGCACCCTCTGACCCTCGCTGCTCCCTCGCTCGCCCTTCCCCAGCAGAAAAGCCCCCACCCGCCTCCTCCTTTCGCCCACGACCATACCACGTTGAAAGCACGGCATCCCGTCCGATCTGCCAAGTTAAGCAACGTTGGGCTCGGTTTGTACTTGGATCGGAGACGGCTTGGGAATCCCGAGTGTCGTAGGCTTTTTCCACTTTTAAGATATGCCTGGCACCTCGGAATTTGTTTTTGGCAGTCTTATTGACCGAGAAGCAAAAATTTTGCTTTTGAGCAACTTTTTTGCGGTAATTCCGAGTTTCTGGGACTTCTTTCTTGCGACGCGACAACCCTACGAGCTTCCGCAGTAGCCATAGAGCTTTTTAGGACTGCAGAACGATCGCAGATTCCAGGAAAACTACGCGGACAAGAGTGAAAATCGTCTTTTTGCCAAACACAACCTCATACAAAATGACTATGTGGTAGAGGCTGGACGACCGCAATGAAGCATCGAATAGAATGGATCAGTGGTTGGCAATAGCTCGACCCTGTTCATTCCAAGAGATTTGTGCGCCCTCGTGAGAGAACGCGTTCCAAAATTTGTTCGAAACACTCGTTGTTATGGAGGTCTCGGGGTTAATGCTAACCTCAAACTTGGGTAATTAAACCGAAGCTGTGGATGGGTGAGTGGAAATATCAACTAGAGAAGGAAACGACAGACAGCTATTGACGGGCAACCACACAGCGAACGATCACCATCTTTCTCTACCTACTCTCTGCACGGGGTCTAGCAGTAGCCGTGTTGTCTGATATCTCTCCTCTCCCCGTACTCACGAGAGCCTCCCCCAGCACAAAACCCCCAGTTCGCCTCCTCCCTTCGCCTACGACCATACCACGTTGAAAGCACGGCATCCCGTCCGATCTGCCAAGTTAAGCAACGTTGGGCTCGGTTAGTACTTGGATCGGAGACGGCTTGGGAATCCCGAGTGTCGTAGGCTTTTTGGCATTTTTGGGACCTTCCGGAATCGGGAGGGAACGCTTTTTGTGCAGATTACAATTTTTTAGCCGTCAAAAGGCCGTTTTTTTTGGGGCGGCAAAGACCTAGGGCGTTTTCCTTTGATAATCCTCGGTTTTAGTAATTGAGGAACCAACCTATCAACTGATCCTGATGCCGAAAGGGGACTGCTGCGACACTCGGAGCGGTCAATTTCGAATTCATCGACGATTGATAATAAATATACATGACCATGGTGAGGAGGATCATTGTGCCGTCGAGGATAACGCCTGAAAGATAAATTTTAGGATTTTTTCCTGACGTAATATTTTTCTTACCTGAATACAGCTCAATAATCAGCGGCGTCTTCTGACGTACCACCATCGCATAAACTTCCTAAAAATTAAAAATATAAAGAAAAGCTAAGAATTTTTATACCAAAAGGCTTCTCGTTCCAATCGACGTTTTTGGGCCTTCATGATGCAGAAAGAAGACGTTGACCAAAAAGCGAAATGACGCCACCTTAAAAAACGGAGTATACCGGAAATCACTAATTGTTTTCGAGGTTAAAAATACATACATTCATCCTTTCTACCTAAACTACACCCACCAAAATTATCGCCCCCAGCAGCAGCAGCCAAATTTCTAGCGAAAACGTCGAAAAAATGAAATTGCGAAAATCGGATTCGGGCGGCCGGCTGATGATGTAGACTTGCTAAACGGCCTTTTTATTTGTTACTTTGGTATGATTGTTACCTGAAAATAGCGAATGGGAAATGTGAAGTGGGCCACTTTCATCCGTTCCGGCGTGATTCTAATTGACAGGCCGCTCATGTCAATCTTGTCCTCGGCGAGCAGGCCCATAATTCCGGAGAAATTCCCGTCATCCATTAGGTTCCCAAAATCATTGACGACGTTGAAGGACTTGTCGGTGTCTACCTTAAATGCGTAGATCTTTAGATCATGCTAATCGAATTAAAATTCAGTCTTTCGCGCCGGGCTTCGAAAAGTATGGGGAGCTCCATTCGGCTCAAGAAGCTCGGATCAAGATGATTTTTATACCATTCGAAAGCCCAGAAAACGGCCAATTTCAACAGATATTAAAAACCCAGAAGCCATTTCAGTTTTTATTAAAGAATCGCGATTTTGAAGTGTTCTTAATCAATGCTGTAGGTTTGCAAAGAAAATCCTATAGCGAAAATAGCTTTAGAAATCTAGCAAATCCTGCCAAATGCATTTACAAAATTTTTGTTAATTTTTTAAAAACCGACTTTTCTCTCTAAGATTTTAACTGCCTTGAAAATTTCAATAACTCGATTAAGTTTACAATTTTTTTACCCACCACCTCCCAGTCCCAGTTCAGCAGTTTCATCACCATTTCCACAATTTCCATCTCGCCGCCGGGTCGGGTGCACGTTTTATGGGGAAGATTTCGGAAGCACTTGAACGCATCGGGGTCGTGCTCAAAGACTCCGACACGGACAGGGCGACCAAGTGCGGAGGACATCTAAAAGTATGGAAATTCATTAAATTAAACAAACCGAAATAGATACTAGTAACTAACGATTGATACCTTTTTAGCGCAGTTGACGCTTTTCAAAAAAAAAATATAAAGAATACATTCTTATTTTTTTTGTTAAAAGGATAATTTAATTTTTGGAAAGAGTATGTGTAATTATGAACACCAGTTAACTAAGTTAGTAATGACTAAAAACCGCGATAGACTTCTTTTTGCTTCTCCGCCTTCCAGTTGCCATCTCAAGCACCTTCCACTCGCTCCTCGAATTTCAGCGTCAAGCCGTTTTTGGGTACTATGCTTTTGCTGTGTCCCAGAAGCAGAAAATATACTAATCCACTTTGCCGAAAGCCATTATCCCCATGGCATAAACCGGAAGTGATGAGTGCAAGCTGCTAAGGTTCGACAACCAGCGTTGATAATTGTTCCCTTTCTATGCAATCAACCACAAGAGGTCCGGCGCAAAACAATAATCAGACACACTGGCTGGCAGAGAGGGGCAAACAGACAATTGAGGGTACGGTAGGTTTATCGGTAGGATGGATTGTCTAAATCAAAGTAACATTGATTTCCAGCCGGTTGATTTCTTTTTTTCATATCAGGCAAGGGTTTTAGGCTTTTAGGCTAGGTTTTAGGTGTTTATCGAGTTTTGCGACGTAATATAGCTCATTTGATAAACATTGAAATTTTACAGAAAATCCATATTTTTTTAACAACTAAATAATAACAGTTTCCGAGAAAAATAGCTCGAAAAGAACGGATTTTGCACATTTTTCGGCTTCGCATAATAAAATACAGACTGTGAAAAACCTTGTTATTGGAGGATCCCTAAAGTTTAGCGATTTTTGAAAAATCGGATGTGTTTAGAATTTAAAATTCTATTAAATGCGCCAAGTCATATGGCAAACGGACAGAGCGGCAAAAACTTTAGGTATCGATTAAAAAGCTCTGGTTCATCAAAAATTTCCCATTACTTTTTTAAATCCACTTAGTTTTTGCTAAAAAACTATTTAAGCAAGCTTCTTAGGCCTTCAAGTCCTAGCAAAAAAATAGAGACGATGACACTTTTGTACTTTGGATTTTGGGCCCTTCCGGGCCAGCTGACCCGGTATCCGGTTTCCGCAACTTCACATAGAACGATAACGTAACGTCCAAGCGCTCCTCAATTTATTTTTTTTTTGCGTGGGATGGTCAGGGTATTTTTGCCCCTAATTTTCCCGTCAATTTTCCGAGAATCCGACCCGCCAATTTTGGAAAAGTCACGGATGCCCAGTTTAGCCGGGCTGGAACGGAGATCTACCGCCAATTATCGGTGAGACTTCCGGAAGTTTTGTAGGCGTGAGAATTCCCTGGTGGGTCCCCAAATTTGGATTTTTTTGCTGGGTGACGAGTCGAAAAATTCAAAGTTCGAGAGCGTACCGTGTTTTGGGTCGCCGTAGTCACGTTTTTACTTCGTAAAAAACATGGAATTTCAGAAAAGTGAAATCGCTGATTTTTGACCAAAAGCGGTTACTCAGAAGTTCACCACTTGTATTTCAGTTGGTAATAGAAGTTAGTATCGGATGATCTGCTATCATAATGTCGAAAATCATGATGCCGAGCTTAATAACGCCCAAATTTCATAATGTCGAAACTCGAAGCGACGAAATTCATAACGTAGAAATTTTTGCATGAAATTTCTGGAAGTTTTGCTGATGTAAACTCCGACACTATGTTCATTATTCCTTTTTGCCCAAGTCTTTCTTTGAATTGGTTTATCGGTATTATTAGCCTACCCAAAGAGTTCCGGCTACAAAAATCACCATAACGGTGACTATGTGAAAGTGAGTAACCCGGGCTAATTGGATAACTGACCCTAAGTATTTTCCTGGTTCGCAAATATCCCGCTATCCCGGGCACGTAGCCCCAGTCATTTGCTGGATAGCCGCCTGATTACGCTGTTTTGAATGGAATTCCGCTTTCGGCCAATGTGGCGCTCATCTCTGCATTCAGATCCAGCCTTATTTACCGGTGCGAGAATTTCCCATTTCCCTTCATTAATAGCGCTTATTAATAACTTATGCGGTCATCTCTTGAGTCTCCGGCATAAATCCAATGAAATTCATTCAGAAAATTATACTAAAGATGATTTTGCCTTCTTCGGGAAAATCGGTCTTTCTTGTATATCCTGGCTATAAAGAATCGAATTTCGAGCAAGATAAGAAATTTGATCAAAAGAACGAGTTTTGAACTGTTATTCATTCGTGTAGTTTTATATTGTTTAGGTATAAATAGGTTTAATCTGGATAATCGTAAATTTTAAGCCAAATCGAATTTTGAGTTCAATGAATTTTCAGATATCTTGATTTGTCAATAATTTGGATGCAAAAAAAATCAAATTTAGTCGTTTTCAGCCATTTAGAATCAAGTCGGGAAACAAAATTTTGCTGAATTCTCTGCTTATTTATTGGATTTTACTGATTTTAGCAGAAATATTTAATTTCCTAGGTTTTTAAACTGTGTGAAGCTTGTATTTTAGATAATGAATCCCGCAATGTTATCCATAGCGGTAGCATCAAGTTTTTCGAAATTTGGCTTATAAATGCACGTTCAAGCGTAAAATCGGAAAATCACGTAATAAAATGCAAAACAAATCTCCTCAAGCTCAGTGTTCTCCAAACAACCGCCCCCTTTGTTTCTACTTTCTAAAGAATCAAGCCTCAGTTTCATTTGACTCTCAGCCAAATCCGCCTGATCTCTGAGATGTTGCTCCAAGCTTTTCCCATGTGATATCCGAGATCAAAGGCTTATTCTTACCTGCCAGCGTCGACCAATTTCCTGCTAATCCTATCGTTGCGAACCCGCCGGAAATTGACTTATTTCTAGTTTGGACTTGGAATTGTAGCAGGGCCAAGAAAGGGGTGTTTTGGGAGGCCTGCGTTTTTGGAGTGACTTCAGGTATTCAGAAGTTCAAATTCAGTTCCGAAAAAAATATTTTGCGCCTATTTTTGGTCCATTTTTCGTTTACTTACCCCCCGAAACCGGTCTTTTAAAAATGTTACATAAACTGTTTGAAATAACGACAAAACCTTGAAAAGCAAATTAATTGCTTTTCTAACTTTTCTCGATTGAATATGGTTTCAATCTCCATTTTTAACCATTTTGCTGAAATCTTTGAAACGCTAAAAACAATTTTGGCGCTTTTGTTAATTTTATTTCCATTAAATATAGCCTAAATTTCAATATTACACTCAAGTTTTTCTGAAATATTTTCTTTAACCTTAAATTTTCAAAGGAATTCATGGATCTTTAAAAAATTTGACAAAATTAAAAATACTGAACCAGTTTGATTTACCGGTTAAATTATGATTTTTTTTTATTTGATATGCATGAAGTCTAACATACAAAATTGGCCTGAACGCAATATATGACGAAACTTTAAAAAGTTATCGTCAAGGTTCTGTTAATGTAGAGATTCAACTTCATACCGCTTTAATTTAATTTATCTTATTCTACGCTTTAATTTTCCTTATTTTATTCTTTATTCTTTTTCTGAAGCTTTTCCAATTTTAACCTTTTTGAAGTATAAATTTATTAAATTAGTGTATTGATAATGCTAATTTAGAAGGCATAGAATTCGAACTCAAGTACCGATCTTCGGATTACCGCCACCTATACTTTTTGTTTCTCTTGCTCCCCCCTGCAAAACTCAAATTTCCGGTCGAATGTTAGGGTTACGTAGCAGACCGGATGGATGGCTGGAGACTCCATTTTTCGGCTCCATTCCCCGGCGGTAAATAATCTTGGCATGGTCCGTTGGTTATGCAAGATTCCGTGCTGCTCTCCTCGCCGCTGCCATCGCCTAACATGCGACTTTATAATGAGCTCCAGCTTACGGGGGTGAATTCCACGAATTCCTCAAGTATTCGTCAATCCGTCATGTAGCCATACTTTTTAAACAGATTTGTCAATTCGCCAGTTTTTTTAGCGAACTTGAGACGGTAATGGTAATTCGAAATAGCGCTTTTTCTATGAGACATATCATATTTTCTATTCGTGTGGCGTTGGCTGCCGCGTTGCGTGCTTGGTCTCGCGCGTTACTGGTCGCGTTGCATGTAGGGCTCCGTGTATTGCTGCTCGTCGCGTATCGCGTTGCGTGTCGCGGGCCACTAAGTCCTAACATCTCCAAAAGCAATCGAAAACTCACTATGATCTCAATTCCACCCTTTTGAGGGCCTTTAGTATTCACATCAAGGGTTTGGTATCATTACATTAATTTGAATACACAAGGAAAATTGTTTTATTGCTATTTTTGGCTCTAAAAACCAGAGAGGATGTTGGGAAAATTCCAAAACCGCTGAATCTTTGCTGGATTCTCGCCAATTCCCGATCTCTGAGCTAGCGACCCGCTTTTCCTCTCAACACCTCTCTAAAAACCCCATTAATATCATAGTCATCTTGCTCCTCTGCCATTTGTCATTCTCTCACTTCCCTCCCTTTGATAAATGAGATCCACGTCGTTCAGGCGAGCTGGAGGAGGCAGCTCAGGAGGATGGGCCAGCGATGCTCCTCCGACTTTTTGTGTTGTCACGACGGCCGGGTGCTGAGGAGGCGGAAAGAGCTGATTGTAATAGAACCGGATCGGAAGGTAAGTTCGGCCTCAAATTTGATAATTTCTTAAATTATTCGATATTAAACTTTTAAATCTTTTCCAATAAACTTATTATACCAGGTCCTATTTCTTAAACCCAATTTCGTAAATTTTCTGCTTGAAAAACATCGGGTTTGAATCCTTACACTCTACTTTTATCATAAAGATGAAAATTACATACTGTAGACACTATATTTTTATTTTTATCTCAAAAACGCTTTTTCCTGATTTTTCTAATTTTTAAACTGTAATTATTAAAAATTATCGAATTTATGCACATTAATTTTGCTACCAATTTATAAATTTTAAAACTTGCTGTCAATTTAGAGAATTCGTTAATTAATTACATACTTTCAAATTG